AAAAAATCAATGAACTAAATTTATGATGGTAGAATAATATGATAAGATGTTCCCCAGAGAGTTTGTAATTACTTAGAGCAGTATGTTTTGGTATACTGTACTGCAGAATGTATATATGTTAGTCAGTTTTTTATGAACAAGAATCATAAAATGTTTGAAATGGAAGGAGCCTTATACATTTTCTGGCTTAAGGTGAACATTTTACATGTGAGGAGACTGAAGCCAGCACTTCTTGACATCAGTTTTCCCCATTCCTGGGTTTCAAAATCAAATAGTGCTGGGGACATTTGTCCTGCATTGAATCCATCAGTTTGTGATACTTAGGTGGTCATAGGACCTTCTTCAGAAGACATGAGGGCAAAGTGAGAGGGAAATCATAATAAACTCACCTAACATCCCATAGCTAGTTAATGGAGAACCAAACACAAGTTTGCTTAATTTCAGAGTCCAGGCTGTTTACTACTACCCTACCTAAAGACTGGAACATAAAGGGAAAAAGTAGATTTTTCTAGTTATATTTTTTATTGTTTTTAGAGTATACAATCTGTTAATGCTTTAAAATACTCTCAAATAATAAAGAGTTTTTAAATAAAGATTTTTGGAAAAATTTAAATATCAAATATATTTTTCTTGTTGCTAAACATATTTTTAGAGTTTCCTGTAGAATTTATTGTAGCATTAGAAACTACAAAGATTTTTTTTTAATGATGATCATTTTATGCAACTTAAAGCCATATAGCCATGTAAGCTTCTGTAACAGCATCACTAAAGCTTTGACCCATGAAACAAGAGTGTTCTGTGGCTGCAAGTCTGCTTAAGATGTCCTCTCATCTTCTAGCTTACTGTGTCTTCGAAAGATACTTAAGATCTTACTTTAAAAGATACTTAAGATACTATAATTCTCTATAAATTATGGTTTTTAAATGTGCATTATAGAATGCCTTCACTGTAGGTCACAGGAAGGGGGAAGGTCAGTGTTCAAGAACTGTTTTACTAGAAACTCATTCTGCTTTCATATCTAGAAAATTGGTCTTTCCTCTAGAATTTCTCAATTTGACATATTCATGGTTCTTACTAATTGCAGCTCTGTTTAGCATGGCATAATGTGCTTTCTTAATGAACTTGGCTCATCCCCTCTTTGCTCCAGAGACTGTAGCTCAGACAAGGGACATGAGCCTTCATGATACAGGATTTTAAGTGAAGAGTACAGGGAGCTCGACACATTTTTACCTTGGCAAAGCTTTAGAATTCTTTTCTTTCTAAGATACACTCTGAAACTCATTCTAAGTTGTTTTCTTCACTAGTCAGTAATTTTAAACCTATTTTTCATATTTAGACATTTGTTTAAAAGGAATTTGACTGACCTTACCAAGGACTTTAGTCCTCATGGGTTTTGTTTTTGGTAATATAGCTACATATATATTTCATATATTAAAAATCAAGATTCTTCATTCTATATAAGGTTGAGTTGCATTCTTAGAATGTTAATTTCAGAAAGTTAGAATATGTATTCCCAGAATGCCTCATTTATTTTTTGAAGAACAGAAACCTGTAGTAACTTCACATCCAACTATGAGATTTACTTGGCTTTCCTTTAATTTTCTAGTCTTTAGCCAGTATGCCATTTTCTTTAGACCCTTTGGCCCCTCCTGCGTTGGATGTTTCAGGTAGTCATGACATGCTGTCTTGTGGTAGGTAACTAGTTCTCTGTTTCCTCAGAGGCATGGTTAGAGTCGCCAGCAGTCTCTCATGCAAACTTTAAAGGCAGCCGATCCTTTGATTTGCAGCTAAAGCCACTTTGGTGTGCCACTTGTCAGTGGTGTTTTCATTCATTCAGCAGGCATTGATAAAGGGGTGCCGCCTAAGAGATTAGATCTGAGCTTGGCTCTGGGGAGACAAAGATGAATAAGACACAGCCCCTCTGTGTGGGCTCTTGAGGATTTCACTTTCTGGACTGGTAGAGGCCAGGGCATGCACCCAGACACAACAAGGCGAAAGAGGCACGTTTGCAGTGCCATCTGCAGGAGCACAGAGGAAGGAGTGGCTCCCCTACCAGGGCAAGTGGGAAGATGGAGGGAGTGTATTTCAGAGGCGCAGCTGAAAAGGATTTGTCAGACACATGAGTACATCACAGACTGATGACTGTCAGAGGGAGAACAGGTGGGGTTTCAGGTTGGCAGTTCAGTTTGGCAGTTCTGAGATAAACAGATTGGGGTTGGGCTGAGCCAGAGTCTCAGCATTGTGATGACACAACAGCACCAGGAGTTGTGGCTCGGTGTATCGGGAGTAGGAGGGGGAGGGAAAGCTCTGTGCTGGGTTTGAGGGTGTTTAGTTACTGCTGGGGGGGGGGGGGGGGGGTTTTGGTGGTGGGTTGGGGGGTTTGGGTTGGTGGGGGGGGGGGGGGGGTGCTGGTTCTAGAGCACAGGTGGAACAGGGCTGTGGGCACAGTGGGAGCCTCAGGCCAGCCTGCCCTTAGCCCTCAGAGCCCAGGGGCAGAGTGCCCAGGAGCAGTTCCTACTTGAAGCAGTGGCGGGACTCTGAGCCCTGTGTGCACAGTCACCCTACAGTAACCCCTCGTTTCATATGTCACTTGACCAGCAATTTCGTCTACTCACAACACGGCTTTGACTCTGGTATTAACCAAAAAAGGTTTCTAGATATCCCCCAAGTGCTGAGATCTAACGTAGCAATGCTGCCGGAGGCTCCGGCCTCACTCTCCTTATCTTACTTTCTTTAAAGCAGCAAATGGAAGAGGGAGGGAAGTTGGAGGCAGGCAACAGCTGAGAGACACCCTGTCTGTAAGGAAGGAGCCAGAGTTGATTTTTCTTTGTATTAGTTCAAGCTTTTATAAAAAAAAAAAAAAAGAAAACCAAAATACAGTCTGAAGCCCTTTGTTGTTCTGAAACCTTGTTCATCTCTGAAACCCTAGCGCCTTGCCGTAAAACAGCACGGCAGTAATTAGAGTTCTGGGCTGTGGCCTCAATAAGTAGCAGACACCCAGGCTGGTTCACAGAAAGTGAAGCCTCCATTCAAGCAGGCTTCACTTTATGCCAATCAATGGTATAAAAGGTAGCGTTGCTTGTATCAAGGTGGAAGAAATAGTTTTTAGAATAAAAACGTAGGGCTTGGAAAGCTGCCTGCTGAGAGCTAATTCATTTTCTCGTGATGCTAGATAAAGGAGACATTGGTGTGCTTTTTACCAAATTCAGTGTATAAAAGTAATACCTTGTATGAATTATGAGTGAGATGATAGATAAGGTTTGACCATGTTACTTAGAAAAGGCATTTTCTTTTCTAATTTTCAAGGGTGAGCCTGAGGATGTACAGGAGATACCTGTTCCAGAATCTACCCCGGGAAGTGTTTCGGCTATAAATTTGAGCATCACTTTACAAGATGATGACAGAAGTGATGGGAGCAATTTACCATCGCCTTCCACTAATGAATCTGTGCCGCAGTGTGATGCCAGCTTTAAAGAAGATGCAGGTGAAAACACAGCATTACTAGGTAAGTAGCTTGCAGGTTATAAATCAATGTAGTGTTGTCAGTAGTTGAAGAAAATGAAGAAATACATAAAATGCAGAAAAGCATAAAGGAAAAAATGAAAGCCATATACCACACCTAGAAGTATTATTTTAACATTTTTTTTTTTTCCTTTTTGTCTTTTTCCATGTCCAGCAACAGATTGCAACCCTCAGTGTCACCCCCGTACCGGACCGGGACCGGCAACGGGATCGCAACCCTCGGTGTTGCTCCCGCGCCTCACTCAGCCAGTGAGCGGGAACCGGTCTGTATGTGGGATCCGAACCCTCGGGTGGGAGCGCCGCCGTGCTTCCCAAGCGGCGCACTACAGCAGTGCGCCACCGGGCCGGCCCTTATTTTAACATTTTAATAAATATCTTTGCAGATGTTTTTCTGTGTTCAAGGATGGGGGAATGTCACTTACTTGCTGATAAGAAACATTCATTTTTCACTTAACATATGAGGCTCTTTCTGTGTCAGTAAATAGATAATTTTATAGCTGCATAATATTACATTTTGGATTTTTTTTTTTCCTTTTTGTCTTTTGTACTGACCAGTAATGGGATTGCAACCCTCGGTGTCACGCCCGTACCGGGGACCGGCAACGGGATCGCAACCTGCAACCCTTGGTGTTGCGCCCGCGCCGTGCTCAGCCAGTGAGCGGGAACCGGTCTCCACATGGGATCCGAACCCTCGGCAGGAGTGCCGCCGCACTCCCAAGCGGCGCACTCTCCAGTGCGCCACCGGGCCGGCCCCTACATTTTGGATTTTTAACTGAGCTAACCGGCCAACCTAATTTCTTTAAACTTAATGGACATTTTTTTTTTTTTTTGACCGGTAAGGGGATCTCAACCCTTGACTTGGTGTTATCAGCACCACGCTCAGCCAGTGAGCAAACCGGCCATCCCTATATGGGATCCGAACCCGGGGCCTTGGTGTTATCAGCACCGCACTCTCCCGAGTGAGCCACGGGCCAGCCCCCTTAATGGACATTTACTATCAGCAGTACTTTGAAATCATTACATGTATATATTAACCACTTGTCTAATTGTTTTCTCTCATTCTGATAGGTAAAATATAGTGAATTGCATTTTTTTGATTACTGATGAGGTTACCCTCTTTCCATATTTATTGGTCATTTTTATTCTTCTCTTATGAATTGTTCATTTCATCCCTAGCTTATTTTTTTATGGAGATATTAATTTTTTCATATTGATTCTTAGAGCTTTTAACGTACTGAAAATATATATGTCATTGTCATGTATTTTGTATATTTTCCTCCTAATTTCTGTGTCCTTTGACTTTTTGGTGTGTTTTAATTTTAAAGTAGTCCAACTTCTCATTCTTCCATGGTTCTGCCTTTGATAGCATACTAATTTAGGAAGGTCTTTCTATCTTGCGATTATAAAAATACTGACCTATATTTTGCTAGTATTTGTGGTTTTGTATTTAACATTTAAATCTTAATCCACATTTTTTAAGGTGTGAGGGAGATTTAAGTAACCTTTCTTTCCCCCATGTGTTTAACCATTTGTCCTAACATTGTTTAGTGAATAATGATTATTTGCAAGGCAAGGCAAATTTTTTCATCTTTATTTTATTTTATTTTTTTTAATTTCTGGGCTATTCTGTATTTTTTAAAGATTAATTCTAAAATCATTTTGCTGGGGCCGGCCCGGTGGCGCACTGCGCTAGTGTGCCGCTTGGGAAGCGCGGCGGCGCTCCCGCCGAGTGTTCGGATCCCACATACAGACCAGTTCCCGCTCACTGGCTGAGCGAGGCGCGGGGGCAACACCGAGGGTTGCGATCCTGTTGCCGGTCCCGGCCCGGTGCGGGGGCGACACTGAGGGTTGCGATCCGTTGCCGGACACGGAAAAAAAGACAAAAAAAAATAAAATAAAATAAAAAAATAAAATAAAATCATTTGGCTAAGTGAAAGAAAATTCTATCAGAAGTTTTATTTGAATTGGATTAATTTACAGGTCATTTTAACTGGGAAGAATTGATGCTTCTGATTTTGAATTTTGGCATCCTGGAAGAGGAAGCATATTTTTCCAAAGCAAAACTGAATCAGTTTATCTTTTAACATGTTTAGGATCTGTAAGGCAAAGATAGAAATATTAGAACTTAAGTTTCAGACGACTACCAGAGGAGGATAGAGAATACATTATGAAAGAAAAGGGGAGAATGGATTTCAGAGAATTGTAAAGTTGAAGTGGGACCAAGCGGGCACCCAGGTGGGCACCAGACCCGCACGCCACCTCCTACACAGCCACAGGCCTGCCCGTGCCTGCCTGAACCGAGGAGGGACCCGCCCACCAACCAAACGGGAAGCGAGGCAGCACACTCAACTGCACTGCTACTAGGAGAGTCACCAGCAGAGCCTAGAAATAGAGAAGGAGGTCTTTCCCCTCACAGCCTACTCCAGAGTAGTAGAAGAAACAAATGTCCTACCAGATGACCAAACATCAACAAAAAAATACTAGAACTACAAATAAACAAATAGATATGACACCACTGAAGGAATATGGTAATTCTCAAATACCAAACCCCATACAGCAGGAAACCCTTGCGTTGTCTGAAAAGGAATTCCAAGCACTGATCTTAAAAAACTCAAAGAGATAAGAGAAGAATCAATTAGAGAACACAAACTAAAGTTGAAGTGGTTGATCAGTTGTAGGCACTCTCTTTACTAGCTCTCTAGCGGAAACTGGACCACCTTACATACAAGGCAGCACATTCAGTTTACCAACTGGCTCTTATTTTTAGGAATCCCATTATATTGAGCCCAAGTGCATACCAGGGTGATTTTTGCCATTGCCTTCAGACTCTAGAAAGAAAACCAAATCTACTTTCTCTAGTACATGACTACCCTTGAGATACTTAGACAGATAAAGAGTTTTATCCTGATGAAATGTCCATCAAAGACAGTCTCCAGGTTTTTCTGCATCCTTGTTACCTATAGTGCATTCCAGTTTATCATCATCTCCCCTCAAATGCTTAAGCTTAGGACTAAGATAATGTAATTTGAAATAGTGGATAGAAATAAAGAAGGTGGACAAGGAAGCTAGGTTTACAAAACAACAGAATGTCAGACACATTCTGAAGAAGCTGGATGCCCCTGCCCCACCCCAGCCTCTCCTATGGGCTCACTTTCTATTTTCTCTTCCTGTCCTTTCTTTATTCCCAAGTATTGTTCAGCAGTAAGTTGACAAGTAATTTATATGTTGATGTTCTTTCTTCCTTAAACAGTAACAATATAAAATTAAGTTTAATTTAATATATTAAATTAGAAAAATCAGTTATTTTAAGCAGATATTAGTACTTCTAGAATATAATGTAGTTTCACTTATAGTTGAGAAAACATCTCCTAGACTCTCAGGAGCAACTAGGAAACCAGTGTGGGAATTATTGATGGTAGACCCCCTGGAGAACGTGTCTCTGCCCAGTGCTGCATCCCCTGTCCAGCTGACCACCTTCACTCACTGTAGGGAGCTCAAAGCATGTGGTTCTGGAGGGTTGGGGGAGTTAATGAGATGTTGGCCAAACGATACAAAATTTCAGCTGGACAGGAGGAATAAGTTCAAGAGGTCATTGTACAACATGGTGACTAACTTAATAACAATATGTTGTATACTTGAGGGGCCGGCCAGGTGGCACACTGCTACAGTGCGCCGCTTGGGAGCGCGGTGGCGCTCCCGCCGAGGGTTCGGATCCCACATACAGACCGGCTGCTCACTGGCTGAGCGAGGTGCGGGCGCAACACCGAGGGTTGCGATCCCGTTGCCGGTCACGAAAAAAGACAAAAAGGAAAAAAAAAATATGTTGTATACTTGAAAATTTCTGAGAGAGTAGATTTTAAGTGTTCTCACCACAGATGAATGATAAGTATGTGAGGTGATGCATATGTTAATTAGCTTGATTTAGCCATTCCACAATGTGTATATATCTCAAAACATGTTGTACACCATAAATATATATAATTTTTGTCAATTTAAAAAGTAAACAAATTTTTTAAACTGGAGGGAAGTTTAATAAGATTACTTATCTTTTTTCACCATTAAATAAAAGTTTTAAATTGAAAAGAAAGGTATTTGATTCTGCTGCTATATTTAGGGAAGTGTGCTATTGTTATAAGAAGCCTTTTGTGCTGAAGGGATTTTGCATTCCTTTTTTGTACTCCCAGTAATACTGATTTTTCAGGATTTAAATACCAGCTCCTCTTCCTTGCCATCTATAAAAATGGGCATAATCACATACTGTACTCCGCCTTGTAGGGCCAATATATAGTGCCTGGTAAATGCCAACTGTTGTTTTCATCATCGTCATAGCTGCTTGTTCGACATTTGAAAACATTTTCTAGTACCAGCATGCTAGACTGCATCTTTTTCTTATAGCTCCATGCTGATCAGATTAATGTTGTTTAGGTTAATAGTAGAAAACCTGTCACACTGTGTGTGAGGAAGATATTTACATATTTTTCTTGTTGACCACCTTTCTGGTATGGGTTGGCATTTTTGCATGTAAGTTTTATTTAAATTTTTCTGCAGTTTGTTTATTGAACCATCTCCACATGAGTAACTGTGTTTGTGTAATTGAAGTTGGGAACGTGCCTACCAACCTACTGACATAGGGTGCCTTTTGTCGCTTTGTTGCTTTGTTGCAGAAGCCGGCAGGAGTGACTCTCAGCGTGGAGGACCCCTCTCCTAGCGCATGTGCCCACCAATGGCATCCACCGATGGAGCTTGGCTTGAACAAAAGGACATTTTATTTTTTTTACTTTAGCACATAGTTTGTATATTTGAAAATAATGTACATTATTTTACTTTTCAGATTCTGATTTGATATACAAAGGGCTGAAATATTTTATTCTTAAAGAGACTTTTTGATTAGTCTTCATATATTTATCTACTAAAATATAGTGTTTACAGTAAACAGTGTGTTGTTTCAGACTATTGCAAAGATGATGACTAAGGAAGGCACTCTAATGTAAAGGACGGTGGTGTTTGTAAGCGCCAGACTAGCCGCTCCTGTACTGTAGAACAAATTCTGTTTCTCAAGGTTTTTAGACTAAGCACACCAGTTTTAGACTAGTTGTAGTGAAACTGTGTGATTAAGTTCAATAATTGATCACATGGGCTTTCCCTGGAGGAAGGACTTTTTTAGAACTTTAAACTTGTAACTGAGATGAGAAATCTACAGCTTTCTTGAACATCTGTATATAGAGATTTCAAAATCTGAGAAGTCTTGTTCATTGTTTGGAATTTAAGAAAAGCATTAGATGAATTTAATATCTGCATTTTTTTCACTTTATTACTTAATTTCTTGTGATACCTCAATGGGGAGGGAAATTTCATTTTTCCTACAAATAAAAATGCTGAGATTTGGTATTGCACCTGAGTGCTAAGTTCCTCATTGCCTCGTTAAGGAAATCTCGTAGACATACTGTGATTTTTTTTTTTTTTAATGATGAATGTATTATATTGGTTCCAATTGCGATTTAATCTTTACAATTAAAAGGATGAAAAATGGAGAATTTTGATTTTCATTGTTGGAATGAAATAACCAGTTTTCTCAGTTAGTTTTTAAGCAAACTTAATACCATGGCCTTGCTTAACCTCTTGTTTGCTGTTCTGACTTGTAGGTCAAAGGAGCAGGCTACTGTAAAGCTTTTGGAGACTGTTCTCTAAGTTTTATAAAGTGATTAAATAAACGCACACCCTGCTCTTTTCTCACTCCTTGGAAGTGAAGGACGAGGAGCATGAGGCAGTTATTTTTTAGAGTGTGGAACAGTAGTCCTTTGTTATTTCTAAACTAATCATTGTATATATCCTTATGTGGAGGCAAAAATGTTTCAGAAAAAAGTAATTTTAAAAAGTATGAAGAATTTATCCTTGTAGCCGTATCTAGGATATAAGGGTTTGTTTTATTTTCTCAAGTTATTTACCACACACACTTTGAATCTGGCTACTCATTGTAACGTACTCAGTGAGTAAAGTTTGCAGCAAAGTCTGTGGCCAGATCCAGTATGAGGAGCTGTGGAAACAGAAAACTCGTCCTACTTGGAGCACTTATTTTAATAGATAGCCTCAAAGCAGGTTTCCATAACAGCCACTGTCTTTGAAATCTACCCTCTGTGGCTCAGTGCAAATAGGAGAATATGTCCTTGATTCTGTACCTGGTGGACTGTTTGCTCTTTGTCTTTTAAGAAACATACTAAGGAAAATGCTTTAATTAATAATTCCTCCCAGTAGCTAATGAAGCTGACTTTTAGAAAGAATACCGTGGCAGACAAAGGTAAATTGTTTCTAATAATCACAGAAAGTGTGATTTCTTAATCAGCAGCTGTCAAATATAGCTTCCTTTAATTCATGTTTGAACACTAAATTCTAAATAGAAGAGGTTGGAATAATTATTGTCTTATCTCTAGAAACACAAGTCTTTAGTAGCAAAAAGAAATTAGCAAGAGAAGAAAACTCTTCAGTACTTTGAAAGGAAAAAGTTTGTTGATAAAGTTGTTTTAGATGGAAATAAACATGATAAAGAAAGGTCAAATATTACTAAAATTTTTGCTGAAACTTTAAAGTTGATGAGATGCTTGGAAAGTAGATGATCTGGTTTAGTTCAGCCATGTTCTTTATGGCGGTAATCACTTTCCTCTTGCCGGTTGTCCTAAAAGCCATTTATTCACGTGTAATGTAGTGCAGTATTTTTTTTTTAGCTTTGCTTTTTGAAGGAGACAGTGTGTCCGTGACCGAGAAGCTCTCTGCAGTTCCTGCCTGCCTGGTGTATTTCTTTGTACTTCTTGACTCCCCAGCCTTGACTGGCGTTCCGACTTCCCAGTGGAAGACCACAAAGGGCCAGAGAGGTTTAAAAACCTGGCACCGTTTTGCAGGTAGTAAGTCTTTTTAGGGATCTGGAACATATAGCCTTTCCCAGAAGATATCTCCCTGCAGCTACTGAGGAATGATGACAATAAAAGGCCGAATTGCAGTGTGTCTCCATCAGCAGTTTGCTCTCTATTGGGTGCACGATGACAAAATCTCCTGAAGCGAACCACTGGCCTGACCTCAGTAGCATCAGGATTAAAGCTTCATATCTTGGGGGAGCTTTCTAAATGGGAGTGGCCAACACGGGCATTCCCATAGACAGCAGAGCTATTTTTAAGAAAAATAATCAGTAACCCTCAGACAACATTGGGGCTTGAACAAATAGTAAAATATCTGTGTACCTTGAGATATGCTTATCAGATCAAGGACTGCTAGAATCATAGAAATAACAGTAGATCTTCATTCAAGTACAAGTGAGCCCATTTGGATGAAATACCCAGTGTAACCAAATTCCTCAGTAAGATAGCTTAGTTTGGCAACAGACTTTTGAGCATGTTAAAATTTATTTGCTCAACGAGGGCTGAGATTAATTAAATCAGCATGTATGTATTACTAGAATTTGAGGTAATTATATGTTTTAGTCAAAAGCAGTTTTTACGGGCTTGGTATAAACTCTACTTTGTGATTTACTAAAGCATGATGGGATGTTGACTTGAACCAAAGCTAGTTTCATTATATAACGTGTGTTCTGTGACGCAGCAACCAATTAGGAAAGCCACCTATGCATTTCCTAGCTAATATAGTTTTTAAAGTTTTAAAGCACTTGTTAGCATTTCATTTTCAGAAATACTAGTACTTGGATTACTGGTTATAAGTGAAATGTCTACAGTGTCATAATCAGCCTGCAGCTAGAGACTTGCCCTCTTTTTACAGCAAAGTATAAAATAAGTTGTGAATTGAAAAAAGTGTTTACACAGCATTCATTTGACTGCTAGAAAAAGCAGTCTATTCTTTCCCGAGTTGTAGGCTTATGGGCTAATGAGAAACCTGAGAACACCAGTACTTTCTTGTTGGCTGACTGCAGTTATCGAATCCCAGGATTATACAGGTGTTTTTGGAGTGTCTTAGGGATCTTCCTGATAAAAACAGTAGTGATTGCATAAAAAGACAGATCGGATGTAAAATGAAGTCAGTAACATGTCTTAGTAGTTAGAGGGTGTGAGAATTGCAGCAAGTAATGTAAAAAGTTTTTCTTACACAGTAATTTTCCAGATACTTTTTTTTTTTCCTTTTTGTCTTTTTTACTGACCGGTAATGGGATCGCAACCCTCGGTGTTGCGCCCGTACCGGGGACCGGCAACGGGATCGCAACCCTCGGTGTTGCGCCCGCACCGCGCTCAGCCAGTGAGCAGGAACCGGTCTCCATATGGGATCTGAACCCTCAGCGGGAGCGCCACCACGCTCCCAAGCGGTGCACTCTCCAGTGCGCCACAGGGCCGGCCCTCCAGATACTTTTAAAATGTTATCTTAAAGGGATGTCACTCAATGTCATTTAAAGTAGACATGAGCCATCATTCTCTGTGGGTGTGTGATTCATTTAAAATGTATAAAACTGTGCTACTTAAAATTAGGTGTAAAGGTATATGTGTTCTATAAGGAAAAAAGTGATACCATTTCTATAAAGTTGTTTAAATGAGTAACACTTAGAATTGTTCTTTTAAAATCTGAAACAACTTTTTGAAATAATTTCTTTCTACCCTAATATGTTACTTATTTCTGTCTCTTTAACAGGTGATTTGAAGATTTTTAAAGCTAGAAATTGGAACTAGAAAATCCCAGGAATGCAAGGTGTCTTATTCACATGAGAGTTAAATGGAATTCATTTCATTACACTTAAAAGTTGATTACCCAGTTATTGAATCCCAGGATTATAGTATCTTCCACTTCAGGTTAAACTTTTACTTTTAAACATGTTTAATCAAGAAACTTGTTGTAAATGTAAATCTTGACTTTTTTTTTTCTAAAAATGTTCTATAAATATAACTACTGTTCTTTGTAAGTAAATCTCTCCTCTTTCAAGTAAAGAATACTGCAGTCTTGATCCTCCTTATTTGCAGGTCTGTATTTGAGAATTCGCCTACTCTTCGCCTACTCACTAAAATTTGTAACCCCAAAATCGTCATGTGTAGCACTTTGGCTGTCATTTTCAGACATGTGCAGAGTGGTGAAAGATTTGAATTGCCTGATACGCACATCCCTGAGATCGGACAAGGGGCTCCCTCTGCCTTCTTGTTTCAACTCTCATAAATGCAAACAAGTGTCCTTTCCATGATCTATTTAGTACCACATTTTTCCCATTTTTGTACATTTTGTTGGCAACTTCACTGCTTAAAATGGTCCCCAAGTGTAGTGAAACGCTGTCTACTGTCGTAAGTGCAACAAGGCTGTGATATGCCTTATGGATGTTAGATCAGCTTCCTTCAGGTGTGCGCTACATACAGTGCTGTTGGCTGCAAGGTGAATGTCATGCCAGAGAATCAGGAGGACCTGGAACCTAAAGTTGCATTGTTTCCAACAGGGGCAGTTGCTGAAATTGCCCTTCCAAAAAGATATTTCAGGAATGAACTCTGCTAAAATGCAAAACAGCAATGCCCACTTCTAGGCATTGAGAGAACCAGTGCTGCTGCCACCATATTAGTTGTCTGAAGGCATTCTGTGATAGGGGCTCAGGTCATTATTTCCTCTAAGCAAACATACTTACAAATCCCTTGCTTTCATAAGAGTAAGATATACAGTGTCACAAATGTAGTGCATTGGCTCCAGTGTTGTAAGATTGGATTTTGTACTCATCTTGTAGGCTTGGTTTCCTTTAATTTTTTTTTTTTTCCTTTTTGTCTTTTTTTTTTT